CAGCAGATCCACCAGCAAGAGAAAAAGATCTCGGACCTGGAGAAAGTGGTAGGCTCAGAAAACTCAACACACTCATGCGCATGACGGTATAGTGAATGAAGATTACACTGTGGTTGTATTCTACTTTTGAGCAGGCCCAAAAGAACGTGTTCCTTGAGGAGAAGGTGAAGGTTCTACAGCAGCAGAATGAAGATCTCAAGGCTCGTATTGACAATAACCGAAGCCTTTCCCGGTGAGACACATTCTGAATCTTCATCCCATACATTTAGTCTGTCTCTGTTTAAAGGTCACCTATTATGCAAAATCCACTTTTTCATGTCTCTTCTACATCACCATGTGTCCCCTCTGTGGAAAGAGATTCTGAAAGTTTCAGGAAAAAAGATTTGCTCTCTTTTTGTCCTGATCCATTTATATAAAAACCTGTCTGAAAATGAGCTGATCAGATTTTTGCCACTTTATGATGTCATAACGATGTTTTGGCTTGTGTAACCATTAGCCAATCACCAACCAAGGTAACCCCCCCCCCACCTTATCACCTGAATCTCCTCCTAGAGCACCATTGAGTTCTTTGTAACCAAATATCTCTCAGAGGGGCGTGGGGAGGGGCTCCTTATTTTCATCTAAAGTAACAGACAGAGAATCAGCACTTTTGAAACAGGCCTGAAACAGAGGGGATTATGGGATGCGGCAATGATCTGTTTGGTGTTTCGAGCCAAACACTTCACAGACATGTTTTGTATAAATCTGAGAACTGTAATAAATGATGAAAAACAGTATAATACCTTTAATTTCCTTGCTCATGGGCTGCTTTGTTAACTTCCTCTGTGATGTTTTCCCTGCAGGCAACTGTCAGAGGAGAACGCTAACCTCCACGATTCGGTGGAGAAGGAGAGCACTGAGAAAAAGAGGCTTAGTCGCAACAACGACGAGCTTCTGTGGCGTCTGCAAACCAGCCCCCTCATTTCCCCTGCCTCCTCCCCTCTGCACCGCTCCTTCTCCACCTCCCCGGTCCCCTCATCCTCTTTCTTTTCCTCCTCACCTGTCGCAGGGTGTGACTCTCCCACCCACTGCCATGGCTGTCAGCAGCAGGCTCAATACTGCTCCCCATCCCACAGAGCCAATCAAAATCTCTCCCCTGGACCAGGGACACCCACTCACAGGGCAGCGACCAATCAGAATTACTCCCCTGGCCCGGCCACGCCCACACACAGAGTGTCACCCAATCACTGTAACTCAGCCGCTTGCGTCGGCTCTTTTCAGAGATAAACTCACATGTCTGTATTTAATTTCTCTTTTATTTCCATGATGTTTGAATGTGAGTGGCATTTAATTAAGTACATGTTGGAGAAAAACAAAGCACCGTGGTCTCTTGTCGTCTCGGGACATTCTGGGCAGACATTAATTATCAAAGCCCGAAGAAGTTCTCGACAGCTGGTGTTGTCCATCAAGTGAAACACAACATTAACACACGTAAATATTGAAAACTGATACATTCTCTGTCCCCAATGCCTGCTTGTATAGATCCAAAGTCTTGAAACGCAGACTGTACATACTGTATGATAGTGACACAGATCAACATGTAGTGAAACCTCCCTGCACAGTCCCGTAAACACAGAAACAGTACAGATGGAAAGTGGCACACTCATCCCACCAGAACACAATCATCTGGTGTTTTAAACAACATACTCAATAGAAAATAAGCTATACTCTCATTGGGATAAGTTTCCCAAATGTTCCCCCCAACAAAGCGCCTTATACTCAGTCCTGCTATTTCACCGGCAGAGAACGACCAAGATTTGATTTCATAAAGGACTATAGGATAAATAATTGGTCTGTAAAGCAATGATTTTCAGCCTCAAGGTGTATTTGACATCTTGATATTAGTTCAACACTGATTACTTGTGTGGAACGACCAAACCTGGAACCCCAGCCATTTGATCTGCTTTTTGCCAGGTCTTCCTACAGCGTCGTGTCACATGAGCTACTCTCCTTTGGGATCCCTCAGGTCAACTTGCAAAAACTACGTTTTGCCGTTTTGTATTTACCTCAGCGGGAATGTGCAGTCTGTTTTGTCCGTGGCTCAACAGCACCAACAATTACAACTTAAACACACAGCTACCAGGGAGCTCAAAACGAAGGGAGGAACAACTAACACAGGAATTGCTGTTTTAAATGTTGTTTAAAATGTGATGTTTATATCTTATTTATTTGTTACATGTGTTTTGCTTAGGCAAGCATGTACTGTGAAGGTCTTCCAGTTTTAATGTGAAAATGATTATTGCTCTGTTTATTTATTAAGCTTGAGGTGTGGAGGAAACGAACAGTGTTTGTAACTGAAAATATCACCTATGGGACACAAGTGGAATATGTGATGTACCCGAGGAAAAAGGAGATATACTAACTTGTTGTCATCACACATACATAGGTGGGACTGTCTTATGATGTAATATAGGTCTATAAGCTATGTAGGTTAAACAAAACACAGGTTAACTATCTGTTTACCTTTTTATGACTAGTGTGGCAAAGATTAGTGTCGCCCTTTCTCAACCTCTTCATAACCTCTACTGGTTTATTTATCTCAATGACTCTTTTTATCTTTTGAGTATAAAGTTCAGGCTACACTGATATTTTTCAAGAAATATTGTTCAGGGAATTACTTTCTAAATTTAGATAGGAAATTATTTTATATAACTTATCTACAGAACATTATAAACTCAATATCATTTTCCTCTTACTGTATATGAAATGCTATAGAGAAACCAGCCTTTGGAATATTAAACAAATTATTTTATAGCATACAGTTTGTCATAGCTGCCTCGTACTCTACTAACTCACGTACCCTCAGGGTCCTAATTACTCTTCTGGCTTTTGCATTGACAACTGCAGTGTTACACAGTGTTATCTCAGTGATTTAATCGCACATGGACAAACAAAGCTGTTCAAAACACACATGAAATTGAGCCGCTGTAAATAAACAAGGCCAGTTTGTAGGGATTAGGGTAAATCTGTGTTGGCAGTCATGGCAACAATGCTAATTAGAGGATGGTTTAGGGTTTATCGCTTTTTTGGGTTAAGTTACAGGTTGGGTAAATGTAACCTTGCCAGCATGTAGAGAATGACGTTTATGTGTTGTGGATTTTTAATTGCTATACCAGCACTTTTGACGGCCGTGAAAACATATTTTTCATGGATCTTCAAGATGTTTTTGTATGACACTCACACAGGGTTGAATACTCTTAACACGAAAGAATGTCAATTACAGCATAAGATTTGAGAAAATGTATCTCGATTGTCACTTATTTTATACCTACACTGATGATTTTTGAGAATGTCTTTGCATAACGATCAATTTAAAAAATATACCAGTCAGAGAGTCACTGTGTTTTCAAATGTTTTTAGAAATGCTGTTCTCCTACGTCATTGAAGGATTCTTAAGGGTCCTCTGAAAGGTAACGTCAAGCTCAACAAAGCTGCAAGAATGCAACAGAAGCTATTGTTTACAAATGACTGGGTAAAGTCACAGATTTCTTATTAATTTAATATTTCACCTTTGAATGATGATAACTAAACAAAGAACTGGTATTGTAATGACCCTTCAATGTGTCCTGTGGACATCTCTGTCTCACTATGCGCTGAATGTCAAACATGTAATGACTGCATTTTATACGAGTCAGTCATGTGATTTTATCAGAAGGACTCTCGTCTGACCACTATGTAGCAGCCATTTAATATGTAGCACTTGTAGAGCCTCCCCACAAGAAACATGGGTAATTGACCTTATCCATTAGGGATTAAAACGACCATGTTTATGTTTAACTGCTCTCGTAGCAAATATTCCCATGGCTTGTCAACTTTCAGCACTACAATTTGAATTTATGGAGGTAAGCTATATAATTAACCTTTATAGATTTGGTCCAGAGACAACGTTTGCTGAATTAGTTTGTTTTGGTACTGATTGTATGTTTGAATGTAAATACATTTACGACATGAGTAGTGTCTTAGTGCACCAACGAAGTAATAGAAGCATGTTTTTTCTGTCTTTACTGTTTCTTGTTCTCCCTTTCACTTATTTTTACCTCTCTGCATCTGTGGTGTCAAAATGTAACCGTAGCGTAGGAGGCCGGGAGGACGGGGAATGAGATAGTTCAACATGTAATGTATACGAAGTGTGTTGATGCTTTGATTTCTACTTTTTTGGGGAGAACACAGTATTAAAAGATATTCAAGAAAACCAAAATGATGTTTTTTTTTACCGTACAGATCAGTCCTGCTCTAAATTGTAGTTCCTAATGAACTACAATTTAGAGCAGGACTTGTATCCAGAATACATATAACACCTAATGGTGTTATATGTATTCTGGATACAAGGGATTGTCCTAGTAAACAGCATACTGTAAATATTCAAGACAGGTCTACAACACAAGCATGTACTTGGACAAAACTAATAGGTTTAGAGTGTTACCCTTATAGACATTGGATATGTGGCTATTTCAACTTTCTTTCAACAAAGACACAGATAAAATGCTTCTCTTATATCTATTTCTCACACATTCTAAAGTTACCAAAAATATGCTGTTGGAAAGGAAAAAGTACAACATAGACTAATATCGCAGACATCATATCAGGGATTTAAGATGTAAGCATTTTGATTGTGAATAAAGCCTCAACTGTTAGTTTGAAGTATATTGCATGTAGTCAGTATCAAAATATGCAATTGACCAACACAACATCATATAATATGAATCAGTCACATTTATTATAGTTTTAACAACACACATCGTTTTCAGAATACATTTTGTCAATAACACGTTGTGAAGCTGACCGTTGAGCGGCCCGACCAAGCAAGGAGGCAGAGGCAGAGAATTCAAATATAACCCGGTGTGGGCATTTATTCATCGCTGTGGTACAGGATACACAGCCTCAATATTGCTGCCCAGGTGAACACAGTCACCAGCCACAAGGATCTCACCCACACTACCAGCCTTCACCAAACAGGAAACACAGAGCCTAAATACACACCCACTAATCAGCAATTAGACACAGGTGAGGGGGGAGCAATTAGACACAGGTGGGGGGGAGGAGACAACACAAAAAAAATTCAGACAACTCTGATGTTTATAAAAAAGTTAGTAGGCCATGCCTGATCACAGCTTGACTATTTAAACCACAACGGTTTTTTTATGATGAGTCTAAATAAAATGTCAACCATGCATAAATAGTCATTTGTATCCTGACTGTTTATTTTACAAAGAGTCACACATGTTTAAGAGGTTGGGCAAACTGAAGTGTCACTTTCGCAGGAAGGGAGTCAACATATCCATGGGCAGGGGGAAGATGATGGTGGAGTTCTTCTCTGCTGCGATGGTGCTGAGAGTCTGCAGGTAGCGGAGCTGCAGGCCTGACGGAGACTCTGAGATCACCAGGGACGCCTCCTTCAGGGCCCGGGACGCATTCATCTCACCCTCTGCTGCGATCACCTGGACGTTGATCAAGAAAGAGAGATTAGTATGGCATTTAAATGAACTATCCTTAAAGGTCACTTATTATACTGTTTTTCATCAATATATTACAGTTCTCAGATGTATACAAAACATGTCTCTGAAGTCTTTGGCTCCAAACACCAAACAGATCATTGCAGCATCCCATAATCCCCTCTGTTTCAGCCCTGTTTCAAAAGTGCTGATTCTGGGTCTGTTACTTTAGATGAAAATAAGGAGCCACTCCCCACACCCCTCTGAGAGAGATTTGGTTCAAAAGAACACAATGGTGCTCTAGGAGGAGATTCAGGTGATAAGGTGGGGGGTGTTACCTTGGTTGGTGATTGGCTAATGGTTACACAAGCCGAAAAAACGTTATGACATCATAAAGTGGACAAAAACTGATCAGCTCATTTTCAGACAGGTTTTTATATAAATGGATCAGGACAAAAAGAGAGAGGATCTTTTTTCCTGAAACTTTCAGAATGTCTTAGGGAGGTGTGTGGTGCAGTGGACTAGTGCGTTAGTGTTCGGATCAGGTGTCCCTGGGCAAGACACTTCACCCCAAATTGCTCCAGTGGGGATTGCCCACAGTATTGAATGTGTATAAAAAGCATCTAACAAGTAACATGTAATGTCTTAATGCAGAGGGGGCACATGTTTATGTATAAAAGACATGAAAAAGTGGATTTTGCATAATAGGTGACCTTTAAAGCGAAAACCTAAAATATAATAATAAAAAATAATGCACATTGGGTTTTACAGGGAATTATATAAAACTGTAGATGGGCTATGTGTCTTGCGATGTGACCCGACCTTAGCTCTGGCCTCTCGTGTAGCCTCTGCTTCTGCTGCCATGGCTCTCTGCAGCTGATGGGGCAGCTTCACGTCTTTAATCTCCACGCGCTCCACCTTGATGCCCCAGTCGTCTGTGGCTTCATCCAAATTGGCCTGAAAAACACAGACAGAGCTCAAAACTGCAGCTTACAATGGAATTGATCCAGTGATGTTTCCATACTATCCAAAAAATTAAACAAAGAGCTTTCCATCAGATATGAATAATCAAGGGAAATTAGCTGAACAAATGTCTCTCACAATTGTGCCCTCCTTAGAGAGATCAGAGGTGTACAAATACTTCATTACTGTACTTAAGTACATTTTTCTGGTGACTTTTTACTTTTACTTCTTACATTTTTAACACAAATACCTATACTTTCTACTTCTCACATTTTCCAAACAGGCTGGTTATTTTTGTTTTTAATCTGTGTTTGGTGGCGTGATCATTATTATTTAGAGTCATTGCGTGCCTATTGATTTGAACACGATCCGTGTATCCATCATTTCCTGGTCTTCTCTAAAGAAGAGGGACCAATGAAAACGTTGTCATGGTGCCGTTGTTCAGCATGGAAACATTCATTAGCTAACAATGACATTATTGTTCTAATAATATAAAGGGAGGTCAGGTGCTCTTTAAAACAGTTGGTAGTTATGGGTACTTTTTACTGAAGTACATTTCAAAGCCCTCTTTACTTTTACTTGAGTAAAGAAGTTTAATCAGTACTTCTACTTTTACCAGAGTATTTTTAATCACAAGTATCTGTACTTCTACTTGAGTAAAGGATCTGTGCACTTTAGCCATCTCTGAGATAGATAGAGCAAAAACAAATGAAAACACTTCTCTTTTGTTCAGTCCACATTATGATTTCTGGAGAGTTTCCTGTACCTGCATGCTGTGAGCGATGCCCTCACGGTCGGACAGGAGCTCAGCCAGATTCTTAGTCCCCAGGACATTTCTGAGGGTGGTTTGAGCCAGCAGACGGGTGGCGAAGTCAGCATTAGCAACGTTGGCCACAGAGGCGATGGGGTCACTGACCCGGAAGTACACTACTCCGTCCACCGATACTGTAACTGAGTCCTTGGTCAGGATCTAGAGCAAGGAAACATGACATGTTTTTAAGCCTGAAGATTTGAAATATTGAATTTGTTTTTCAGTGTGCCAAACCCTACCTCTTGTGGTGGGATGTCAAATGAAACTGTTCGCAAATCCACTTTCACAATGTCATCAGTGCACGGCAAAATAAAGAAAATCCCTGTAAAAAAAAACCATCAATTATGAAATGTAACCCTTATTTATTTCTTTTTTTTATAATTATTTAAAAAAAAGAGGTTCTCAAAAGTCCCTACAGGTTCATACAGTAACTTCAAATCATTGAAACAAACATGGCTCTCGGATACATTGGCTAATAATACATTCGATACAATTAACAGATTCTTTTTTTTTTAGCCAAAAAGAAATAATTCACATTTAAAAATGGTTTGTTTTCCTACCTGGTCCCTTAGCCTTCTTGTCTGGGATACGGCCCAGTCTGAAGATGACAGCGCGCTCATACTCCTTGACAATCTGCAAAAACACCAGCAGGAACAGCACAGCGTAAGCAGTTCACACTTGAAAGGCAACAACGTTTTTTTTGCTCTTCAACCCACTGTGCTCATTTACTGTAGCTTACTCACCTTCAGACAAAACCAGATGGTGAAGGGACTGAGGAGTATTGTGAAAAAGCCAGAGAGAATGACCAGGAACCAACCAATGCATCCCAAAGATCCTGTCCGTTCAGCTATAGAGACAAAGTGACAGTGTGTGTTGACAAAACTGTGAAAACCCCAAAACAAATATGAAATGAAAATAAAGGAAATGCAAATTTAGATAACTGAACAGGCTTGTGTCATGAAAGAGAAGGATGAAGGGGGCAGGGGCGACTGTGGCTGTGAGGGAGTGCGGTCGTCTTTCAACCAGAAGGTTGTGGGTTCAATCCCAGCCCGTACAGTCAACATGTCGATGTATCCTTATTGGGCAAGATACTTAACCCTGAGTTGCCCCCGATGGCATGGCCAAACGGTGTGTGAATGTGTATGAATGTTAGTTCCTAGAGTAAGGTACACTGCTCTGTATGAATGGGTGTGAATGGGTGAATGACATGTAGTATGTAAAGTGCTTTGAGGGGTCATAAAGACTGGATAAAGCGCTATATATAAATACAGTCCATTTACCATGAAGGAATATGGGGAGTGGATATATCAACATCTGCCTTAAAAATCCAAGTTTGAAATCACATTGAAGTGGAAGTGATGTGTTTTGGCCCCTTTTTAACTAACACACAGGAGATAAGGATAGCTTTTACCCCTTAGCTAATCTAATGACACAACACTCTGCAAACTGTTATATCTGTATTGCACTCAAACCCCTCATAGTTTTAACCACCATTAATGGATCCGTTTTCAAGATCTTACACTGATGGACGCGGTTTACAAACAGAGGAACTCTCACACAAAGAGTGCAATCAGTGAAATGTTTACCAGTGAAACATGATCATGGGGTAGTGCTTCTGTAATAAAGGAAGTCATTAAGGAAGGGAAAGGTCTGCAAGTTGTACCACTTCCTAGTCTCCAGCTATTTGTTTAGTCTGTACCACTTTACAATAAGAGTACCCCTTATAGAGGCTTTACGAATAGTTTGTAATTCATTTATTAATTAGGTTGTGAACACTTTATAAATCCTTAATAAACTTTTAGAAGACATGAGGTAGCAACTGTGACCGGTTGCTTGCCAAATAGTGAGCCCACATGTATCTGTACTGCAAAGCCAAATTATAAATGGTAGTAACTCTTTAATAAATGGGAATGTGTTTTACACTTTACAATAAGACTCCCTTTTGGCAACTATAAATGTTAGTAACTCGTAAATAAATGGTCATAAAGAGATGCCAAGAAACATCTAGATGGAAGTGGGGGAACCAACTCAGTGAACAACAGATACCAAGGATGCTGGCTGGTGAAGAAGACGAAGTAAGCTAGGTAACCAATATAAGGCTTAGTCATCTTGTCAAATAGTGAGCCTGTGTTGATGTATGAAAACTATGTTAGAACTGGTTCTTAAAGATTAATAAAGTCTTTACAACCTAATTAATAACCTAATTAGAAACCCTTTATTAATCCTTTATAAGGGTAGTCTTATTGTAAAGTGGTACCGTTTAGTCTTTATCTAAGAACGATTAAATTATACACAGAATCCCTCATGGTCATATGGTTAACCTCATGTTTTTAGACACAACAGCTTTCATTTGGACATGGTCACACAGAGTCAAAGTCACATATGTCTCTATGGTTCATACTTCAGCACATCAAAGTCAGAAATGGCTGATTATATTCTAATCATTCTTCATGGCCAACTTCATGGTTCTGGTTTTCATTTCCTGACATTGTTGTGTGTACCATTTAACTGTCTTTCTATGTCAAACCACAGGAAATGCAGTTTTCTGTGGTAGAACTAAAGGACATGTTGCAAGCATTAGTGCGCGTTGCAGAGCATTGCAAATGCATTTAGAGTCTAAATGCATTTTCTGACTGATCCCCATGATCGATCTTAATGTGGTATTTGGTGAAAAGCAACTTATGATGATTGCTGCAATGTAATGATAGCTTTCACTGTGGCAATCCTCACAATGTGTTTTGATGGAAGACATTTTAATTGGAATTATACACAAATGATTTATCCGTCAACTCAGTGAAAGAGGTTGAAGTGTACACAGCACTCTATGTAGCCCGATCCCGTCCAACTGGTTGTTGATAGAGACTTGGAAAATGATTATGCTGCAAGATGACATGATGTGAAAGGAGCCATTATCAGGCACACAACTAATGGGCATTTACACAGAAGCCAACTGCGTGACATGACAGCTCTTATTGCCTGACTTCACACACACACACACACACACACACACACACACACACACACACACACACACACACACACACACACACACACACACACACACACACACACACACACACACACACACACACACACACACACACACACACACACACACACACACACACACACACACAATTGAAGGGTAGCACACACACTCAGTCACATGCTTTTGGGACTCTTATCTTGGTGACATGTGATTTATGTCTCTATGACGATGGAGTTCTACTTTGTCCCTGCCTCGCACAGGTGAGCTCCAATGTATGCATCGCTCATACAATACACTGCTGCTTACATAGCTAACAATATAATGACAATGTATATTCAACTCATGCTTCAGGGAAAGGCAAACAACCCCTTTGTTGATTTAAGCCTTAAACACGTCTGGTTTTGGTAATAGTTCAATTAAAAATTAATAATTAAACACAAATGTGAAACATTTAAGCTCAGAAAAAAAGACAGTAAAAGAAAATCTGGTTTATCTTACATATTAAATCTTCTTTGCTCACTCCGCGTCTCTTCTGGCTTTCCACCTGGCCCTCCATTTCCATGTGTTGGTTCAGAGTGCGAGGGGAAGTGTGGAGAGGGTTTGTTGAAGTGTGTCGGATCAAGTGGGAGTCACCCAGCCTTTTAAAGCTGCAATGCTGTTTTACAATCCAGCTCAGAGGTGTGGCTCTGACATAAACTTGACCATCAAAAGTTAATTATCATCTAGTTAATACACAACCGGATAATCTCAGTTTGTTTATTATATTTAGCGAGGTTTTCATGACAGAAATACATCCTTTTTAGTTGTATATAAGAGGAGGTTAGGTTAAATACTAATAATATGGATAATAATTATAGTTACTTATATGCTAAGAGGTTTCCCCATTGTTACTTTGCTTAGCTAACCTACCACTCGCAACCGGAACACACATTGCAAAATAAATGTTGAAATGCTATACTTTCCTAATTGTACTTCCTACTAGAATGAGGAACTGCTTAAACACTATGCATTTGTGGATATATTTTGATCTCAGTTTACACTAAATTGTATTTGATAGATTTCTTTCTGTATGTCTTTTGTACAGTGCTATTCACACTCTGCACAGTTATCTTAAAACTATTTATTCGTGTGGGTTGAGATTTAAAATGTTATGTCAGCTTTCTGTCTCTTCAAAGATGTTAATTATTTATTGAAAATTCATTATGACTTTTAAATAAACTGGCTTAAGGGAGGCCATCATTTGCTGATTGTAAAGAACAAAATATGTAATGCACTTGTTGCAGTCCATGGGAGCCTGTGAAGGACCTGATAGTCAAATAATTGTAGCATTTCTAGGTGAAATTATAGAATGTATAAAGGTAAGCATGCATGATTTTCTTTATACAAAATCAGATTTGTTTTAAATTAAAGTTTAATTTATTATAGGATCTTTGAGAAAATAAATATGTTTCCATCATCCATAATGAATAAAAGGCTGTCATTGAACAGGTTTGGTAAGGAAGACGACAGTGGTCAAAGTTTGAATTGAATGGAACATATTTGAGTAATGGAAAATGGGATTTGCTCAAAGGAGATCCCATGACTTGGTGTTGGGTCTCGTGACTAATGACTGATGGCATCACATGTGTATTGTGTAATATTACGGATGCTCACGAAGCCATGCGTAGAGTCCTAAGTGGACTTTACGTAGGCTGTAAAACCGTAACATTTATAATACTCATTAAACAACTGAAAATAAATCAAAGAAGGTAACCTTATCCGCCTGTTTTTGAAGCTGTATTTGGTTATATATATAAGTATACAGTTGATTGAGTCTTTCTTTGTCAATGAATGTATATTTCAGACCTTTACTTTGCTGATAACACATGTGCAGGAGCCTATGAGACTTTTTGGCCTTGATCTTGGCACCCTTTTATTAAAAAGTCACATAGTTGATGATTGTTACACCAGTTAAAAAGCAAATAACAGCCACTCCTTCATAGCATAATTATTTATCTACACATTGTTCTATCCACCTTCATTAATTAAACAAAGGGCTTTCCTATTAGACATGGCATCACACAGAATAGAGTAACAGCTACAGCAACCAGCAGTTTACTGACAAAATAATAAAACAGATACAAATACAGAAAAAAAGGACAAAAAAACAAAGGAAAATAAAAAAGTCTGTTCATCTCAAATTTCTCCCCATGTTCTTAGATGTACAGTAAATGAGGTAAACCGTTTCCACGATGTTGCACAGCATTACTTAAGTATACCAACATTTTATACCTCAAATCCACTTATAAATCAACATTTGCTGATTCTCAGGAAAATCTTCATACAGTAAATCTGGTCAGTACTGTAAAAATAGGGGTGAAATCTTTTTAAATGAACTTGTAAACAAATGTGAATCACAGTTAACTGCGGACAGGCCAAAGTGTAGTGACAGTTCACTGAAAATAACACACAGAGGAGCACACAGCACCAGAAGTACAAAATATTTATGTTGGGCCCATTCCAAAAGTCAATTTAAATGTCATAATACAATGTTCATTTCAGGAGAGACTGTCATTATCCTTCGTATTGTCTTTTCCACCAAGACTGGACATTGGATCAAATACTACATGAGGATAGTGTCAATTCATGATAGCATGTACAGTTTTACATTTCATTTCTATTATTCATGATTCACTAATAAATGTTGATAAACTTGATTAAAAACAGCCAAGTCCAGCTAACATTTAAAGAGGTCACGGTATATTTTAAAACCTAACAACTTCGAAACCTGATATTTACAACTGTTTATGAATAAAATGTGAAATATGTAATCTCCCCCAAACACTATTTCACATGATTTCATGATAGTGTTACATTTAGTAGTAAGTCTGGCTGTAACATACATGATAATGAAACCCTACTATCTGTCCTGCGCCCATCAGGGTTCAAGGCCAAAACATAGAAAATGTCAACTGCTGAAGGGTAGGGCAGGGTTTATGCTAGTGGTCCACCATGAGTAACTGTTCTCCGTGTTTTTCAAAGTGTGTTGTGGGTTTCACTGCCAACCCAGCTGGGGGTGCAGGCCTGGCTGGAGGGGGAAAGGGTTCCCTGGGCCTGGAGGGTAATTGGCGAAACTATTGGGAGGGAAGTTCTCTAAAGATGCGGGATGACCCTGAAACAAGACAAAGAATCAGAAACGAGGTTACCAGGTAGGTTGACACGTACGAGGAATTTGACTTGGTGTTGTGGTGCATACATAAAATGAAAACAAAAATGTAAAAACACAGATAGAGAACTATTTAAAGAACACTATAAAACATAAAAAAATAAGAAAAATATAGTAAAAAAATAAAGCAGTATTTACATTGAAATAGAATGGAATAAAATATGTGCAGTAAAAAAACAGATATTGTCAACACTGTGCATTAATGTAATGCATAGAGTTTGCGTTGTGGCTGAGGTGAAGTGTCAGTGGGGGGGCTTTGGAAATTAGTCCAAAATAAACTGACATTCAAATACTTTTCCTGCCATAGTTTTGTGTGTGTGTGTGTGTGTGTGTGTGTGTGTGTGTGTGTGTGTGTGTGTGTGTGTGTGTGTGTGTGTGTGTGTGTGTGTGTGTGTGTGTGTGTGTGTGTGTGTGTGTGTGTGTGTACCTGTAGCAGGGCAGACTGCATGGCTTGGTTGTGGAGGCCACTGAGGCCAGCAGGAGAGGCAGAGGGAGAGAAGCCCGGCATCCCGGGGAAGGACAGCAGGCCGGGGAACCCGCTGCTGCCTGGAGGCTGGAGCCCGCTGCTCAACCTGTGACACGCACGATCATTACTGCCAGGCTCTACATTGTTATCTTTTTTTTTAAATCTTTTTTTTATTGAGTCAGGCACAATGAGTTTACATTTATACAGTCAATATTTTTATTTATTTTTCCCCTTTCCCCCCCTCCCGGTAGCTAACTAAATAAAATAGATACATGTATAGGTAAAAGTAAAGTAATGTAGAAGATAATATTAAAAGAAAATGTATAGATAAGGGAATAAAGAATAGTAACAGTAATACTTGTACCCATATACTCACATATGTATACCCACATATACACATACGTGTGTATTAGGGCTGCACGATATTGAAAAAAAACTGACATTGCGATTTTCCCCCCCCTGCGATATATATTGCGTTTTTTTTAACTATATTTAACCAGATGAAGGTATTGTCCTCCTGTGCCTCGCTCATTTTTTACCGGTGTTTTGATGGTCTGCAAACTAGCGGGGCGGGGCCTGCTGTGATCTGATCAAGAATGATTATGATTGGTGGTTTGCTGTGCATGCAGAGCCTGCATGTCACTCACTCAAGTACCCCTGACATGAGAGCCGCGCAAGTTTTCCTTTTGTAGCAAGCAGCAAAATAATTGTAACATGACGTGTTTGAGTTAATTCACCTACTTAAGCACTGAGACTGTTTTTCAGGTCTCAGGCTCGAAAATGACATTCCCAGAACAAATATATTCCCTTCTAAAAGGGTTAAATTAATAATCTTTTCTCTCAAAGTAATGATAAACCTGTGAGTTGGATGTAGAAAAGTCAGAATCAATATAGATGTTTTTTATTTTAAAGAAAATTCAGATTGAACATAGTAAAAAACTGTAAATTATAGTGTCCGTCCAAAAAATATTTTTTACTTATAGTGAAAACTAACCTTGGATGATGGTTTAGTAGACTAAAAGCTTTAAGAATCCAAAGTACAACATATAATAAGTACCCTGTATCAAGATTGATGCAAAACAAGTGACATTTTACCTTTTTAGAGAGGTTTAGCAACAAAAAAACACTTCTGGGGTCATTTGGGTGGATTTTCCATATCTCTGGCCTTGGTCGATTTTGATGAATGACATCTCTTTATAACCGCTAGATGGAACAAATAAGGAGTGAGAGTGACGCGTAGCCAAAACCGGAAGCTGCATACACTCTGGTGGCTACCATTAGCAGCTAACTTTTGTGCTCCGATTTTTACATAAAAATGGAATTATGGATTATAAACAATTGCTTCAAAGCCACAGATACATTATTAACCTATGGATCAACCGATTCAGCCGCGTTCTTTTTCGTTGTAATGCCATTGAACACGTCTTTTGATCAGATTGACAGCTACGGTGAGACGATCTCCCGTAAAAGCTCCGTAAAGGTACGTGTTGTGATGTCTGTGTTTGCTTCCCCTGTCGAGAGATCGGATCGCTTAGTGATGATACTATACTTAAATAATCTGTGGAGTCTCAGCTTTAATCGGATATATTGTATGTGCAGTTTCGATAAGTAATAAGGGTATCTTTATTTTTGAATTCTGTGCTAAAGTGCGTTAGCATTTAAAAAAAAAAAATGAATAAAACCGCACGTCCCTGCGGTGTGAATATCGCGCATGCGCATATCGCGGTTATCGCCATGACACGATATATCGTTCAGCCCTAGTGTGTATACATACCCACACACATGTACACATGCACATACATACACGTACCTACATACATACATGTATACAAAGACAGAACAAATAAATATAAATAAATACAAATTAATATAACAAAAACAAAACAGATAAAAAGAGACACAAGGAAAAAAAAACATACACATACATTCGTAGTTCCCCC